GAGCCTCAGGTCACAGCCCCCTCCTGCACCCAGCCTCTCCTGCCCCAGGTCACAATCCCCTCCGTCAGCCAAATGCCCTCCCAGATGCCACAGCCTGTTCTGCATCCCAATCCCTTACCCCAAGCTCCCTTCCGCACTCCGTCCCAGACCGCGCACCTCCTCCATTAATATCATGGACGAGTGCGGCCCTTGACTGCTTTCCAAATTCATAGAGTGCCCCCCCCCCAAAAATTATTGCCCACCCCGGTCTTGGCTGTAGGCAGCAGGACCCTTCTCCCCAGCGGCAGCCCCCAGGCAGGGTTACGATGCCCCTCCACGTCTGGCCTGTGAGGACTCTTCTCTGGTAACGTCTGCCTGCCCTGGACCTCTGACCCGGGCCCCCCCGGCTCTGCCCCGCTCCTCCCCATGTCCAGCTGCTCCCTGCATCCAGCTCCAGTCCTAGCTCCACTCTCTGCTGCACCGTGTCTCTGGCTCCCTCTGGCTGGCACCGCTCTGCTCTGGCCCCTGCTCTCTCCTTAGCTCTGCCCCACTCTGTCTGACCCAGACAAATCCAGGGGATGCCTTTCCCCCATCCCCTGCCGCCTCTGCCTCCTGACCCCTCATTGGCCTGCCCGCCCTGTCAATCAGGCTCACCAGGAGCACCGTCCTCTCCCCATTGGTCCCGGAGACTGTCAGTCTCTGGGTCCTGATTCCTCATCAAACCTTTCCCTTCCTTTTGGTACTGGGGCCAGCCAGCCAATGCCTCCCACCCCAGTGTTAGCAAGGGGCCCATGGTCCCCTTGCACCGGGGCGGGAAGGCGCTGCCCACAAAAGGGAAGTCAGGGATGGGAAGCTGATTTTAAATCACCAGGCCCAGCTCTGGTCAGTATGTATCTGGGGGGACACTCGATTGTCCCTGGGGTAACATCAGAACCTGGCTCTGACCCCATTACAGACACTGGGGCTACATCTACACAGCTTCCCTCTTCTGCAAAAGCCTATGCAAACGAAGTGTGGGGTGGCATATTACGCACTTCATTTGCATAATTAATTAGGAGCCGTTTTTGCAGAAAAAGGCACCATCCACGCACCATCTACCTTTTTGCACAAAAAAACCCTTTTGCGCAAGAGCCGTTCGTCCTCATTTGTTCAGGAAGAACAGCTCTTGTGCAAACACCTCTTGCACAAAAATGGCTCCTAATTAATTATGCAAATGAAGCACGTAATATGCTAATCCGCACTTCATTTTAAGTGTGCTGCTAATGAAATGTGCTGCGCTCGCCTATGTACCCCAGGGACAATCGAGTGTCCCCCCACACTGACCAGAGCTGAATCAGCTTCCCATCCCTGACTTCCCTTTTGTGGGCAGCGCCTTCCCGCCCGGGTGCAAGGGGACCGTGGGCCCCTTGCTAACACTGGGGTGGGAGGCGTTGGCTGGCTGGCCCCAGTACCAAAAGGAAGGGGAAGGTTTGATGAAGAATCAGGACCCAGAGACTGACAGTCTCCCGGATCAATGGGGAGAGGCCGGTGCTCCCGGTGAGCCTGATTGACAGGGCAGGCAGGCCAATGAGGGGTCAGGAAGCAGAGGCGGCGGGGGATGGGGGGAAGGCATCCCCTGTATTTGTCTGGGTCAGACAGAGTGGGGCAGAGCTAAGGAGAGAGCAGGGGCCAGAGCAGAGCGGTGCCAGCC